TTCCAGAAAATAAAAACTGTATAGAATTCTGGCTAGCATGTTTGCTATGGACTCCGTTTGGTAGCGATTTCTTTCCGGAGCCTTTCTACTTGGAGACCAACGTTTCAGTAAATCGATTACGACAGTCATTTGAAGTACTTATTGCCTACTAAACTCTGATCCAAAAGAATAACAAGATGTGGGTCTCCCTTGAAACCCAGAAGTTATCGATTTTTGTCCGGATTATGGTATTCTGCAAACATAACACTATGGAACAGCGAACGAAGTACTGGATCACCCAAGACCTCATTAGTTAGGGCTGAGCAGGTTCATTTCTGTGCTACGCATTCTAGCATCCCAAACAGCCGTTAAGAACTGTATCGCCACAACCTTCCTTGAGCGCATTATATTGATCATTATCTGTGCAACCAAAATGCTTCTTGAACTCCTGGATATAGGAGCGCAATCCAAACTACTTTCACCCGTACAAATAGTCATACCAATTTATGGTGCCACTCCGCGTACCTTAGCAACGGTCGAGAGACATCGAAACTTGCAAAATTCTTCCCCTTCTCGTCGAACAACCGCAGATCAGTATGACTGGACGTGGAAGCGCCTGAATGTATGACTTTGAAGGGAATCAATCTCAAACCACTATCGCGAAGAACAATAAAATGATTAACATTTTGGATGGTCAGTGTGTCAGTAAAAGGAGCGTGCAGCATACAAGAAAATCGCGTATTACTTGGTGAGCCTCACTGTGCATTCACGATTTTCGATATGTGGTGAATATCTATACAGACAACTGCCTGGACACTGTGGAAAAGCTCCACCGATGGCTTGATTTTTAACGGGACTGGATAACATTTACACAACTTAGTCATCTAAGCAGCGAGAACCACCACGTAAAAGGCAAAGTCACAACGGTGTCGACTACTGCGGTCGATCATTGTACACAGACCGGGCTGTCAACAGTAGCAGAATGTTTCGGCCAAAATGCACACTAAGTGGCTGTACTAACCTCAACTTCCGATCTTTGCCGACAAATGCGCATACATCACTAGACTTTGACATTCCAGAATCTCTGCTGAATCATACTTGTCTGACTAGACTTGCCCGAAAAATATGCGACAAAGTCGTACATGGACGAATCTGGTACGAATTACTGGCGAAATGGTACAATTAGCGAAAACAGAGTGAAAGGCAGTTAGCCACGAGAAACACGAAAGCGGTAAATTCAGAACCGTGTGAAACACATTAACAACTAGAAGATGCGCAAGAAATATGAGTACTGTCCCAGTGTGCAGTCGCTAAGATCCGTAAATTACATGTTATGACACATGGCTTGTATGTCACAAAAAGTTAATTTCCGCACTATTTTGTGACCTCTTGCTAAAGAAGTCAGATGGGATGTGAAGTTTTAAAGCTAGACGAAGTGAACTACTGGGCTTTACCCACAGACCACAACAATCACGACCTTGTAGGCTATTCATGGGAAATACATAATTATATGGGTGACAAAAAGTCAGAGGAAAATTACTAACGCGCAAGCTTGCAAACCCAGTGGAAGTAGATAGAATCTGTGCCAGTTTCCTCAACGCCTTCTTTGGTACCTACATTTAAGGATTTCATGGTCGCCGAAGCCTATATTAAATCGTCTGCCGTTGGTAATGGGAGTTTCTAACCAACGATCTACGAGCTAGCAGAATATATACATTAGCGTTTCGCGACGGGTGGCTGAGCAGCAGATTGTTTAAACTGCAGTTAGACAGGAAATAGTGCCACTCCTCCAACAATCACGGAATCCACATCATTTGATCGATTTTCGTTCATCTTGTGAAATTAGTCTCCCTCGGAGAATCTAAGGGTTCGTTGTTAGTGTGAGGTCTTGAAAGATACAACTGAGATTTGTCCTTTATGTGAAAATTCCTGATTGAAAATTTCATCTAGGAAGTCATCACTCGAGAAACCAGTCAACACGATGACGTGATTTGGATCCCGTGATTCTGGGTTGAGTCTCGCTACATCCGCTACATCCTTTCATTCTAAATACGAGTTTATCACACTGTTGATCAGCTTCTTGTGATCGAACGAGTTTGAAACTCCCTGCAGTTTTTCGAGGTAGGCAATACTGATGATTTCCAGTGAAAATAAACTGGCTGTACAGGGCTTCTCTGCTGTTCAGTGTAGATTGTATTCAATTACAGAGCGAAATTTCTATTGAAAGGCAAAATAAGTCCTGGACATATTTTGCAGATTTCGGTGACCAAACATGAGTGATGGCTGCAAAAAGGACGCAAATGATAGTGAGGTTTATGACGACTTTCAGAAGTCGTCCAGTATCAGCGAAATGCACTAATTTGCAAATAAATTTCGTTTTGCTGGAGACTTAGCTGGAACCCAGGTGAATCGTTCGTATAGGATGTTTTGTGTAGAACATAAGGTTGACGAAAATTCGGGGACTGTGCATACCTGATGAGCCCTAAGAAATGCGAAACCGGTCTTATGCTGTCAAGGAATTTTCAGCAGCTTTTATGAGTCGTGTGTTACGTCGTCCAATATTCTTTGCATAAAAGTAATTATACCGGCGACAATGTACTAGTTTACTGAAATACATTTGAAACACTGGGTAGGTATGATAAACCCGTTCTATCAAGAATGCCAGACAATTTTTTCTCTTATGCAGATGCTTGCTTGTACCCCCCCCCCCCAAACGACCCATTTCTAGCCACCTTACAAGGAGTTCCTTGAATTTCCATTATTGACTGCCCGGAGGTTATACTTTCGTTTGCTGCCTCTTCTAATTTCTAGAGTGCCATTTGACAATTATGCAGAGTTCACAGTAGAAAACTAATTTATGGTGAATGTGAAACGAGAATGCTCCCGCAGGTCCAGTCGGATAATTAAGCTTGTGTAAAACAAAATAAAATGTTTCATTCACGTAAGCTTCAAACACCAACAGTGAAGCTGAATTATATCTTGCAAGTTACATTATTTAGTTGTTTCAACTGTTGGAAACTGGGAGGGGAGTTTGGAGGAGTGAGAAGTCTAAGCACATGTGGGATGAATGGGGATGCGCCATTCGTGTCCGTCCTCAGGCGCGTCGTTCCTTTCACGCTGCATGTACTCAAACTTATCATTTGAATACATAACAAACAGCCTTCCACTTTGATAATTTACACCGGATGATATGATGGTCCACTGTGGAAGTCACACAAGGGGTCCATGAACGGTAGCGACAGATATCAACTGCCATCAAATTAGTTTGTGTAGTGAATCAGCTGTGAAGTTTGGGTGAACAAGCAAAACAAAGAGTGAACAACCTAAGTGGCCCAGTAGATATAGCACTCGCACAATAAGCGGGATCTTACAAAATGAGATTCGAACGCAGACTCCGAGAATTCCACAAAATCCGCACACACTCAAAAAATCAAATAATGGTATGTATTTGGCCCCACATTCATTCAGAAAAGTGTATGCCAGTTATTCGAGTAAACGAACGTACAATAGAAAATAAGCAAAATTCATCCCATTTGTCTAATCCGAATATGCACTGTTCTTAGACCACTCGGTCTTACAGTTTTTATATTGTGTCCAGTGTACAGGTACTGAGGTCACTTACAACCCAAAGTTGACCTTTTTCGAAGTCCTTTCTTTGCTTATCAAACTCAGGAACCGTAACTATACTACTGGAGACCGTTTACCCAAATAAACCCTCTAGGGTCTTTTTTGTGCTAAGGGACACTTTTAAACATCTATTTCTTTGCCTGGTCAGTGGCTGAATCTTATTTTAAAATGTTGATAATTAGCTTGGTACGGTCCTCAGTGGCATACTTCAGGACGTCCCCGCGCGTGCTCTGTAAACTTCTGATAAGAAGACCTACCTGGCCGCAACATCTACGTGGTGTACACCAAGAGAACAGGGGCCATCAAGTGGGCTTACTTTAATCCTCCAAAGATTTGTTTATATAGGCGCTGGAACCAAGCTCGCGAAATAATACATTACCTCGTGATTATCTCGGTTTTCTCTGGGGAAACTTCATCTGTAGCTATCTAGCGGAACCAACATAAAGATCGTCCCTTCTTCAATATATTATATTAGGTTGGATGTTGGTTCAACATCAGTCAGCTTGTCAACAAAGCGATCCGGTCAATGTTCAGTTCGGTTTACTGTTTCACAATTCATTAAGGCTGGTTTAAGCTATACCGTAGGAGACCAAAAGACTTCATTTTTTTTCTCTTTTACTGGGTAGTATTTAGCTTCATCACAGTTGTAGACCACCCACACTTATTACTCTAATCGCATCCAAACACTCAAGACGAATTTTTTTGCAAAAAATTGACAGTGGCACCTGTTGTTTAGCATCATGTGACAGGTAAAAGTGCTTTCTATCCATCGCGGATGGTCAGAGCATAAATACCGAATCCTGAAATCAGGTGCCTGTTACATTTTAAGTTGTGCGGTGATCTGTGGTAGATTTTTGCAAAAAAGTTTTATGCAAGTATATATGCATGACTACCAACATGTACCAAATTCTTTTAGACTTTTGGGTAAAAAATGTCGGAAATAACAATCTCCTCCCTAGGAAAACAGCTAAGGCGACACGAAAGTTAGATTACAAGAAGATATTGCCTCAATAAAACAAGTACAAAGGCACACCAAGCCAAGCGAATTTCGGAAACCTCCGAGGTTTTCAAGTGGCTTCTGTAGATTTATGGAGAATGGTTTGTCTGTCTGAAGCCCTTTGGGCAACCGTACCCTAGTGGTTGTTTAAAAAGGTAGTCCAGTTAAGTGGAAGTCCTGTATAGGGCGTGGAAATACCGCTGCAATTAATTTCACTGTGTGAAGTCCTTAAGGTTCACCTTGGACTTCACTAGGAACGAACCTAAAGAGAATATCATACCGTGTCTATCTGCCCCTTCCTGAGAACTCTCCTTAACACTTTTGGAGCTATTACAAATCTAATGTAACACAATACTTTGAGATTCTCCACCCAATTTCTATATTTTCCTTTCAACAGAGTGGACCTACTTATACGAACGGTCTTCAGTTTGGGCGCGCCTACGGAAGCACCTCAAGCACTCCAGCATCTCCCCATATTTCTGGTACTGCTCTGAAGCCCATTAGATCGCCCTCATCCTACTCCCAGTTTGGAGTAAGCTATGGGTTGGGTGGGTCGAGTGGACTGCGACATTCTGGAACCTCTGGTGATGTAAAGAATATAAATGATAGCGACCGTAGCATACATTCTCGTCGCCCCAGTATTGATCGAACGTCTGCTGGGTACACAGATTACACATCTCCCTTTTCCAGTTTCTCCAGCGGACGGTATTCTACCAGCACCCTCTCATCAAGAGACTCTAGTTCTGGAGTAGGAAGTAACTTTAACAAAACGGGAGGCGTTTATTCACGCTCTCTAAGTCAGAACGTCGTTCAGGAAGAGGAAGCGGAACCTTGTGAGTCAGCTAGCAAAACTTCAGAGGGCTATGTGCTTGTAACGAGCAGGTCATGTTCGACTGAGGAAGATTCTGGTTTTCGCAACAAAATCTCAGGGATTTCTTCGACCAAAACAGAAAAAATGCAAAGAAACTCCCATAAGCTACCCGTAGTGGCAAACAGTACTCAAACAGCGGATGACATTCTGTTACCTTCTGCCAAAAATTCTGGTAGCACAACGTCAGCTGGTCCAAAGCTGTCCACTCCAAGGAGATTGAACATTGGTGGACGCTATTTGACCCAACTTCAGAAACAAGAATCAGATCCACAGAGCCCAAAACCTGGGAAGGGAGGATGGCGAGAATCCGTCTATGGGATAGATTATTCTAGTAAATCTAGAGCCCAAACGCAGCCACCGCAGTCACCACAACCTGCTCAGAATCTCTCATCGACCGAGCAACGAAAACTTGAGCGAAATCGGAAGTTAGAAGAAGAATGGAAGAACCAAATACAGCTGGAGATTGAACGTGAGAGCCGCAGGGTTCGTCAGCTTGAACGAAAAGCTAGATGGGAAAAAGATGAGATGAAAAATAAAGAAATAGAGGAAGAAATACAGCGGCGAAAACAAATAGCCGCTGAGTTGCGGGAGCAGGAGGCGAACTTGCGCAACGCGGAGGAACAACGCAAACGTGAGCTGCCGAGTAACTTAGTGAGTGCAAACACTCAGTCACAGGATCCAATACAGAAAGTAAACGCTTGGAAACGCCAAAATGCTCTACAGGATGCCGATCCACCGTCTGCCGGGGAAATGGGTGGTTCACAACTCTGGGATGTTGAAGAACAGGCCTGTGAACCAGCTGTTGTGCAGCTAAGAGAGAAACATACGCATCATCATCCCCAGCTGAGAAAATCGGAGGTCTCACGATACTCTAGGGACTCAGAAGCAACCATTCGCCAAGATACATTGACTTCGGAGCAAAAAATCAATGGCACAGTCCCAAATTTGGCGTCCAGGAGACGCAGCTCTATAAATACAGCTGGTAGTATCTCTTACGCTATGCAACACACAGACATAGATGATCTCCTAAAAGATAGACCATCCTCCAGATCAGATGCAAGCTCGGTTAAAAAGAAAGATGTCAGTGGACCTCCGTCTCCACGCCGTGAATACTACAGAGATGGAAGTGGGGATTCCGACGAAGAAGAAGTAAAGCTTGTGTACAAATCCTGGAAGTCCAAGGAAATGTTCCAGCGCATGACTACGGATGTTCAGAACTTGCTTATGAAAAGCCACAAACGACCAATTAATGTTAGAATGTTGATGGATATATGTCGGAACAAATATCACGACAGGCGCTTTACGGACGCTGAGGAGAAGAGCTTTCGTGGATACAAAACTGCCAACGAACTTCTCACAGAATCAGGCGTGGACGTCAAAAAAGTGAGTCTGGCTCTTTTCAAGTTTTATTCAAATTGATTCCTGAGCATCTCATCCCATAGTTTGATTTTTAGAAGAGAAGTTCTGATCTGTGAGGACTATCACAATGTATAAGTAAGATAGGTAATTCTTTGTAACGTAAAGAGTTTGCCCGTAAAAGTTGCAGTACCGTTAGATGTTGTCGGTATGTGTTTATTGAAGACTGCCTTCACACCGAGGAATCCGTAAAAACACAAAGCTAAAACTAAAATAATGGTTCTAATTATGGTATATAAGTTCTTTCTCTCCGAGGATACCTTCAAATTTCATTTTCAAACCCCATTTTCATTTACCCGTTATTTTCAAACATGTATAAGGCTCATCAAGACGCCAGCCAACTTAAAGTTTCCAATATGTCCAGAGAAATAAACATTGCGCTACAGCCGGATTTTAATAAAATTTACGCAAAACCCTTTCAAGAAAACGTCGTCAAACCAAGGTAAAAAGAATCGGAGACACTGAAATGTGTATAGATCCCACATGGGACCTTTGGTGTTTATTGAGGCTCACCAGACAGACATAAATTGTGGCTTAAAGTTTAATGCTCTTTAGTACATGACCGATAGCCGGCCGGTCGATATGTGTGTGAGGTGAGTGGAACTTAGGCGAACCAACTAATTGCATAATTCACAGATAGTAACATTCTGCTAGCCAGAAATTCACCTAGCAAACCCCGTATTTCCAACTGAGTTGTCCAAATAAAGTACAGTCTCCTCATTTTGCTGGATCGTTCTTAAAAAGTACGAACAAAAGCCAGCTGTTACGGACAATTTAGTTCAAAGATTTTACGTGATACAATTGGTTCGTGCAGCAATCCAGTTACCATAAAGCAAATGAAACGCACCAATTATCATTTCGAATGCCGCTTATTCCGAAAGTTATCTCCACGATATACCTTTGTTCTGCAACGTCGGAAAGTCCAGTGATAATATATCCTAAGCTGAGTAAAACCTGACCAAAGCCGCTGCAAAATGCCAGTTAGATATCATATTAAAGCTTATTAGGATAGTTGAAACAGCCTCGTAATTCTTCCTTTTAATCACGACGGTATGTAGAATCCTGTGACTTTAAAATTTCCCTAAGACCTGACCAAATGGACTTGGAAAGTTTTGGTTGCAACTTTACTTAGTAACTGAGGGATAATAATAGCTTCGTGTTACTTATATATCTCACCAGTTCAGGCACACAAACGTCCAACCATAATTTGACGTAGTCAACCTGTTTTCAGCCAATTTTGAGTGAATAAACCTACTTGTTCTAGGCGTCTGCGTTGAATCGTGATGTGGTACATCGAGGGTTTTCTGCGCAGTTTGGAGCGCGGCGAGTCCATTTGAATTCCGCAGTAGACCAAACTGAAACACTGCATGGCTGGTTGGCTGGTAAAATATCATCTGACAGTACGGACTAGTATGAAAAAAGTCCTAAAGGCATGGGGTACTACATCCTGTTGCATGTAAACGTCAGTAGGTTCATGTCTATAACCAAAAAACATCTCTAGGTTGCACTACATTTTTCGGGCCTTTTATTCAGTAGCCCATCTACTGACAGAAGAAATCAAAAGTTCCCAGTATATCCAGCTGCCTAGATCGTTTTGTGTGCCATCAACTGACAGGAAAGAGGAGTACAATAGCAGGCACCACCTAACGTCGGACCACCTCTGCAGGTATGAGAGCCATACTATAGGTATTGATTGTTCTAATGTCTGTTTCATTCTCCCTGCGCTCCAGCTATGTCATTTAGCAAGTTGTTAAATATATTTATTATCCTTGTGGACAAAGAAGAAGGTTAGGCATTTTTCAACCCATGTGTTTTTTTAACCCACACTTGTGTTCCCTGTTGTGACCCCTTCATGTATATCGAAACGGCGTATCAAAGGCTGCTTGTTTGCACCGCAAACAACCTAGTATACACAAATCGCCTGCTCTTTGACGATCTCGGGTGTAAATGTCTATGGTGAGGTTCCTGTAGTTATACGACCTCTCAAAATCTGAGTGTCATCTGATTAACTGTTCGGGGAATTCCTTCTAGTTCAAATACCAACACTTGGGGCCTGAAAAGCAGGGCGGCCAACCATTGTATGAAAGCACTCCCCTGCTATGCGGGAACCGAGTTCCACCCATCCCGAATTGAAGAAGCAAGACTGTTCAAAGGTAATATTGATCGGTATACTGTTGACTGTCGAGACTCAGCCTGATACCAAATAATGCATATCAAAGCAGAAGTGGAACAGTAGGAGACAAAAACGCCATAAATCCGCTTATATACAGCACTCAGCGAAACGTGGAAGGTAGTGCAAAGGCAGGGTGCGAAGGATAGAAATCTCCGGTATTGGAATCTTCGTCTAACTCCAGAGTAGACGTCGGATATCCCAGACGAATCACCTGCCTTTGACTATTTTCTACGCTCCACACAAATTTGTCTTTGGGTTACCTCAAACATGCACTATCTACCTCCGAGATACCGACTGCATTATCTACGGGGCAATTTTCACACAATCAGGTATTTGTTATTGGTGTTCATAGTGTGAGGAGATTTGGGTTAAGTGTTCAAACTACTAGCCGGGAGGTCGCGGGTTCGAGACTCTTCGGAGTTTCATGAGATGCGCACTGCTGATGATTCCCAATAAGGATGAAACAGCTGTACAGTGCTTCTCGGCTTTTCAGCACAGATTGGCTTCACTTATAGGACGAAATCCCATAAAAATTTGTTATCGGTGTCTAATTCTTTTTCAATTCACTGTCACTTTTCTAGTTGGGTTGTGAGTGGCTTGCGATTCTGCTACGGTCAGCCGTTTGCTGCTAATAAGCAGGTAGTCATAGAGTCGCGATTGCATATTGTAGATCCGAAAAACGAGGGATGGGGAACAAACAAATGGGAAAAATCATGCGGCTTTGAAAAATCATTCGCCAAATAATGGATCACACTGAGAGGCGAACAGTGCATGGCCCCTAACTTTGATGTCTTAACTATATATCCAAAGGCGGTTCTTTAACCCCTTAAACTTACTCTGGTTGCTTGTCATTAGTCCTTGGCCTGTTTCTACCCGCGAGGACTTCAGTCGGCCTCTCCAGCTAGTGCTTTTTACCTACCAGCAGTTGTATTGTTCGACAGGAATGGCAGTGGAAAAATACCGCGTTTTCTGCATTCGAATTTAACTTATGCCATCTTCAGTCTGAGATAATGTTCTGTATGCAAACACCCTCGGCACCTCCGGAGAACATTCGTTGCTGTTGTTCTGTGCATCTGACCGGTGTAGACCGCATATTTGCTGCAACAATTTAGGAAGCGTGTAGAGTCAGGGATGAACACATTTGAGAAGGTAGCCTCCAGCTGTGCTCAGCAGAATTTCCTTACTCAAACACAAACAAGTTCGCGGTCAACTCGTGACATAAAATCAAGGTCTGTAAAGGCTCTGCAGCTAATAAAATTTTTACTTACCGTCCTCAGCTCGTTGTGAATCTGAGCAGAAATTATCAGCCTCAGTAGTCTTCAGGGATAGGAATTTCTGGGTCTCCTTGAGTTGATCAACATCGAAATCACGACGAATCTTTGTGGTATCTGTTAAATAGCTGGAGAGGGGGCGCTTACGTGAACCACTTACACTCAGAGAAAATTGTTGTAGCGCGACATGTTCACTAACCCGGTTGAATTATCCGCAAACCTTTTCCGTCAACAACATGTTTTTATGGGGGCACCAGTTGGCCGTTCTTCAAGAATAAATGAACGGTTATTAGTGACTGAGACGTCAATTTCTTGCGCTATCTAAACCGTGAACCGAAACTCAAGAACTTTGATAGAATCGGCCTAAAAATTTTAGCACAAGCCGATCAGCACGGGTTCATTAAAACTCGAGTGCTGTCCAGTAAAATAAAAAGTTTCTCACTACAAACATTATGCACTTCAGGTTCTTCTAGTCTGTGATGTGAATGAAAACCGGTAAGCGATAGGGCAGACAAAAATCCCAGGAACTTGTCCACCTGAAATTATAATTTGGAGACATATTCGGCTTAAACCATATCTTGGCCAACAGAAACGATCGAAGAAATCCCGCACGAGTCTTTGCTTAGAGAAGGGTTCCGCGGAAGGACAAAGCCGTTTGCTTGAACGTGTTGTGAAGGTAGAGCAGGACTTCCGACGAGAGAAAAATGAATACCTCAAAACTCAGAGATCGCCATATCTCCTGCGTACAAATATATTCCCGTGTCGGCGATTGAGCTGATGTGAGTGTCTATGCTTGGGGACAGTTATTATTGGACCCAGCTAAGACGACGCTCCTGGGGTGGGTGAATGTCGAAGCACAATTTGGGTGGGGACGAAAAGGTACGAGCATAACTGGCTTTCGGAAACGATAACAACTTCTCTCGTCCACTTTACTGGACACTTTCCAAATCAGGCGTCGGAGGTCACAGAGACGAACATTTGCAGAGCCCTCAAAAAACAGGAAATGGGTAGTAAATTCACCGACCTTCGGTGAGACGTGCACCCGCGTGCTTCGACATCAGGTAACAAGACAGAGATATGTATATCGGATAGGCCGGGAATCTTTTATGGAGGAAAACTTGATCATCGAAAGTTTCCAAACCAAGCCACATCCAAGAGTCCAGGCGGGCTTGATCACGCGCTGATACGTTGTGGCACCCCAGCTACCCTTCGGTAAATCCAACCATCGTTGCCCAACTTCCGGGCGACGAGTTAGTCATTCCGGCTGGTGACGGCCTTCAAGCAAAGATACGGGATACTCGAAGCCGGCCATCCTATCGGGTTTCCGAGTAAACTGCTGAAAGTACTTTTTGTAAGATCAATAATTTTCTGCTCGAGGGAATCCTGTCTAATCGGCGATCATCGGCGTTGGTGTCTCACAAACCAATCCATGCCCACTATCCTTTACTGATGTTCTAGACCGCGGCAACGATGGGGTATCGTACACCCAAAACACCTCCCTGAGACTGTGCAAGAGTGCCTACCATAGAGAACAAAATGTCGTGAAAAGAAACTAACATTGCTATCGTTCCGTTAGGTGTGGCGTTGAAGCCTCCACGAGCAATGCTGACTTAATTATCAATTTTTTTGGCTGTGTACCAGCCATTAAGGGAATGCATACAAGGTTCAAGCTTAAGACTTTCGCCATAGCCACATCTTCCGAGCGATTTGAATAAACCAACTTTAGCTCAGAATGCGCAGCCCGTCACTGAGCCTAGTAAAGTGCTATATTTTCCAGCATTTAGCACCAAGTTGTGGTACTATAGATCCCGAGACACTTCCACACACCAGGTAATGGACAGCATGTGACTGAGACATGATCTGACAAGACTACATTGCCCACAGTTTATTTTATGTAGACAGAACCTAAAACCCGAAGAGCTGTGTTTGCGTCCGTGCCATTCGGGGACGCGAAGTACTGATTCCACAATTTGGAACGCTGTTCATACACTGTCTTGACTATAATGCGCACTATTGAGCTACGCGGCGTGAGAAGCTAGGGCTTACCATAAAGTGTCACGAGTCTTTTCGTCCTCTTTGAGCTCGCTAGTTATGCACAATATCCGAGTTTCCACCAGCCATGCGTTCTACCAGAGCATAGCCATTCTACAAGGAACGAAGTATGATAACCCGGTGGGTGGTCAGTTACCGAGGGTTAGCACGCAAAAAGGCTTGAACGGCGAGTCGTTTTTTTACGTGAAATGACGGTGGCAACAGGGACATTATAGAGGTTTGCAAAATGATGGAGTGTGGAGTTGAGTAGCACATAGAAGCTCTCATATAACTAAGAACTGGAAACAGATCGGGATCAATTAGAATCCACTGGAAAAGCTAGTACCAACAAATAATCCTAGGTTTGTCACCCAGTAGAATAGTGACGTCTGTTATTGCCCTCTGGATGTGGTCTTCGGGGTGACGGAGATACTACTTCTTCTCGGACGTTAAGCAGAAGACTTCTGCAGCAAGAAGGGAAATGGATGAAACGGTAAATGGTTTAAAATTCTTGGGAGCGTACGTATCAGCAAATTCGTTTCTTCTTCTCTGGAAACAGGCGGATAAGTTTTTCTAATTGATTGGTGGTCACTTCCTTGAGCGCTTGTCTTATGCGAGCTCCTGCCTGGCAGGCATTTGGGGTTTTAGGGCTCACCGTAGCAAACAATCGGCGAAAAAATTGCGTACCTCTGAGAGACAGCCATTTATGTGAAGGGGTACGAAGTAGGTTTTTGGATAGGGACATTGGTTCGGTCAGTTACGATCTTGGTATTCAGTGAGCCTATTCTCACCACTCATTGACTATCATGGGACAGAACCGAGCTTGAATAATTTTTCTACTCGGTTTTTCTAGGTGGACCAACTTCAAGGCAAAGTTTATTGTTTTCGTGGGAGCTGCCCGAGAATAAAATGTTTATTCGTGTAGCATGAACTAGAACACGCTGTGGGTGCTTGTTTTAACGAACCACATGCACTCAGGTTTCTAGATGCGAACTACACCAGCGGATATTTGAATGAGATCAATGAAGCATGGCTAATTTCACGTGTCGCATTCAATATCTAGATGATCGTGATCCATTCTCTTGTACATCCACCACCATGTTGGAGCCCATCAGACCTCCGAAATACGTATTTTTAATGGAATTACCCCTAAGTGTACAACTCTCCGGTATCCACAAATGTTTACAAGCCCCTCAACGTGTAGGTAAAACTGAATTATCATTTCACATTCACCATCTAGCTGGAGGAATCTGCATTGCAACTCTGTCGGTTTGCCCAAGCACAGTCCGAATTTGGAGCTTATTTGGATTTGGACTCATCCTTACAAGAACAATGGGAAGAGCTAGAAATTTCTCCAGATCAGTGAGTTCCGCTTATCTGCTAGTGCAACTTTTCCCCCGTACAATTTTCATTTGTTTGTTCCGGTTAAAGCCTCCAAATTTATCCATTGCTTGTGATTATCTCACTGATCACCTCTGATCTCGCTCTTGTCGCAAGAACAGGAGTTAACGGCTGTCTTATGGAGTTTGCACATAGCTGAGTTACTGGGAAGCTAAAGCAGATAAGACTTGGGTATAACGTATCTTGTTTGCTTTCAAGGTTTGTTTTCAGGGTTGACCATCATAATGTCAGACCGTTTTTTCAGTTGCCCTTAGCTTCAGCGTACCGCTTCTGACAGCACATATAGCCAGGCTAAGGAACTTTATTCAAGTCTCCATTGTTTGTGCATTACTTTCATATCACGTTCATGGGTCAGGCAGCTGAAAGAAGTGAAGCGATGAAAAACCCATCAACAACAACCCAGCTCCCAACCCCCTTTACCATTTGAGGCCGCAAAAAACGGCACTCTAAGCAACCTCAGATTGTTTAGTAGTACTAAGTGACATATCTTCGCCTTCTCAAACGGGCAACACCCTTCTCTCACAGCTACCGGTAGGATCCCATGTCAGAAAAACACCTGCAGGACCTCACCACACGTCTGCACCAGATGGAAAATGAAATATCCTACCTCCGAACCATGCAGTCGACTTCATGTCTTCTAAATCCTAACGCAATATGAGATCCAAGCAATATAGAAGCGTCAAATCTGATTGATACGATTGAATCTGAGATCCGTGAACGCATCGAATGCCGTAATCAGGTCCTAATATTAAACTCACCTGATCGAATTCCGCTTAAACGTACCAACACTTCCATCCTGACTGCGTGTCTCATGCTGGACACCATGTGCACAGCTCGGCGAATCCGAAGGCTGAAACCATCCATGTGCTGCTCAATAGTAATGCAATTCTGGGATGAAAAAATGCCGTGCATCTGTTAACATCCCAGGCTCTTCTCTCTACCGAAAAGTTCCAAACTATAAAAATCAATGCTGCCCGTGCTCGAGTGCAAAGACAGTTTACCAAAAAGTTAGCAATAATAGTAATAATTATAATTATAATGTTTATTCCCAACTTGTAGGTGGCATACGGTTAGGTATAATCACAATAAAACAGTCAGAATAAAAGCATAACTGGCAGGGATTGTGGGCACAAGAGGAGTTAGGAGAAGTGACAGCGTCATAGGGGGTGCGCATTATCCAGTTGTTGTGTAGCAGTTTAGGAAACAGGTTTAGAAAAACGGGTGTAGTTGTTTTTCAGCGTCCTCCTTGAGTGCTGGCCATTCGGGAATATATATGTTTAACTCACGTCCTTTACGGTAAAGATTTTCACTTAACCTCCCCAAGAAGCCCCGAAAACAAGCCTCCGATTTAGCACGAGAAAAGCTTATGGCACATGTTTACTATGCAATGCATTACAGACGACCACAACTGCGATGAGATAATAACGAACAAACTTGACGTCAGGAACCGTACTTGTGGTGTTTCTGAGTATGTACACCGGAACCAATGTTCCTCAGAACGGTCAGTCAATGTGACGCGAGGCGCTCTACCCCTCTGAGTTTAGAATAGACAAGCGATTAGATGACAACTCTAGCGTAGCCTTTTCGAAGACAGAAGGCTGGTGGAACCAGAAAGTTAAAAAATGAAGATGCCAGTACGGTTAAGAACGCTAGAGAGCAGTCCCGGCTAATCCTGAATTCCTCTACAAAAAGATTGACCCCTACCATGATGTGGCGGTTTGTGTAACCCTGTGACTCACCGAGTTATACTGGTGGTTTCCACTATGAAACCCGCAAAGTGTCGCATGAAATGTCGGTTGGTCGAAAGAGGTGTGGGATATAAAATCCTTTGGCTATCCAGGTCGGATTAGGAACATGTACTGCGATGTCTTTTAAAGAATTGTATTACTGTAGTAGTGTGTCGGCATCCACTCAATGCCATAAGATTTTGGTGGGAGCACTATTCGTCCTTTTCCATACGTGTGGGCGTCCTGATAAAAGCGCAACCCAAGTACAATAATAAACCTCTCAACCAGAAATAATGTCAGGTCACATCGGCCGTATCGTGATCCCTTAATTCCTGCACACAGGACATGTAAGCAGGAACGACACATCACTTGATGTCATCGTCATCATCATCGTCACTGTCACCAGCATGACATCATTGTTTAACACCAATGCTTTGCTGCCGTTCAAAGCCTTATTTCAGAGAAGAGAATGTAAGTGGACGGGGAAGGGACTTAGTGCCAGCTACCACAATTATTCCGAAGTGACTAAACCTCCAGACACGCATTAGGCAATTTGGATAGAAACTGATAACACAAATGCCATTGACAGAGACTGGCAGTTATATCTTGCACCGTCTCCAAGCAAACGCAGTGGAGATGACGTGGTCCATATCCTGAAAAGCGAGTGGCACCGACAGCACACCAACATTTTATAACCTCATGCGTGCCTCTCTGTTAGGCCAAGGGTAACTACCTCTCTGATGCCGACAACATGAATTCCGCGCAGATAACTGCACTCTGGCAAGCAGTAGTTAAGCATACGCCAAGCACTATGGCATTGTCTGCGGAGCAAAGGTGTCCCTCATAAATTCTTGAACCTCATTAAGGCGCTGTACGCCAACTCCCGCGGCCGTGTAAAGGTCTACGGGAAGCTTTCTCCTGAGTTCATCACATCCAGTGGTGTCCGACAGGGCTGTCCTCTTTCCCCTTTCCTCTT